CTCAAAGTTCCATTTTTATTTATTATAGGGACTATATTAGCTAACCATTCAACATACCTGGTTGTCCTGATAAATTTGCTCTTCAACAACTGTTTGATCTCTACTTTGATTTTGGATAACACTCCTATCACAAACCTCCTTGGAATTTTCTTGATTGTTTGTTTTCCTGGATTTATGGGAATCTTCACCTCCACCATTTATCTACTCAAACCAGGCATCTCTTTGTAATCCCATGCAAAGCAATCCTTGAATTCTTTAAGTAATTTGATCACTTGATCTTTTATCTGACTGTCGATCTTGGTGATGATGTAGGTAATTCTCTTAATCTAACCATCACCCAGTTCGACTTCCTCTAAAGGATCTTGTGCTTGCATATTCAAAACATTGTCTCTTGGATCTTTCTCAACTCCCAAAGGCTCTTCTTCGTATATACAATCAAGCCTCTGGCTTTATGAAGCTATTTTTAGGCTTGTGTCTCCAAGCTCTTCTACCATGATGGCCTCAGGTGCCATATTTGAAACATCTTTAGCCTCTAAAGCCGCATTTATTTTGTTTTCGGCCATATAAGCCAAAATCCTTGCCAGAGCATTCGCCATAGGCATCATCACGATTTTGTCCCCTTCCCACCCTATAGGCTCAAACTCCCCTTCTATAGCTGGATATGTGTCCAACTTTTCTTGGTCCTAAATAAAATCATGAGTGAGGTGTAATGTCAAGAAATTGATCGCATCAGGACGCGACTTGAAAACTGCATCTTCTGGGTCGCACGGTGGTATAGTTGCAAATGCTTTGTTGAAATTCTTTCGATTCACCACCTTTATATCATAAGTAAAATAGAAATGATCTGCCTCTATGTTTTCGATGATCCTATCCCGGCGCCATGTGGACACACATTGATGCAGGGTCGATGGCACCGCCCCTATTCCATGTATCCATTCGCGCCCCAACAACAAGTTTAAATTTGCCTGGGACACTATCACCATAAATAATGTTGGCCTTGAAGACGAGCCAACTGACAAATTTACTTGAATCACACCTAAGATGTGACTTGTCTTTCCTTCATAATTTGACAGGACCATATTATATGGTTTAAGGTTTGTATCGAACTTACCAATTTTCTTCAATAATGATTGTGGCATCAAATTAACGGCAGCGCCACCATTAACGAACACCTTGTTCGCAGGGAATCCATCAAACTTATCCCTTATGAACAAAGGTTTTATATCATACTGTTGGCTCCTAAATTCGACACCTTTGTTTTGTTGATGTCAGCCATTAAAGCTGAAGGATGTTTTCGACTGGCTAAGTCTGTCGAAATGCCCGTCGAAAGATGGCAAAGTACTTAGAAGATTTCTTCCAAGGGAGAAGTTGGTTGCCTTCGACGTCGAAGGAGTTTCTCGTCGAAGATGTCTCTCGACGAAAGTATTCGATGGTTCAGAGTGGAGCAGTTTGAAATTCAAGCTTTTGGAGGGAAAACGGTTTCCAGCAGTTACCACGTGTAGCGTGCAAAGATCTGGAGCGTCGAACGTTGAGAACGTGCCAAGTGGAATCATCTCGAAGCAGTGTAACTGCCCGACGGTTACTTGGGATGTTTTAGTATAAATAGTAGTAGTCATGTAAGTTCTCGCGTGTGTTCACAATTCTATACAAAGTCACTCATATAGATTCGAGTACCCAGCGTGTGAGAAAGAATTGTTGAGAAATGTATGTGTGAAACACCAATTTTATTAATCAAAGTCATTTACTTTTCCAGAAATTTACTTGCTTTCCTTTTTATATTCCTGTCGAAGCCTTTTACTTTAAGCCTTGTTTATTTTACCAAGTCCTTTCTTCATGCAATTTACTTGAAACCTCTTTATTTCATTTAAAGCCTCTTTATTTAAAGCCTTATCCAATTTAATCAAAACTTCAAAATCAACCTATGTCCTAGGATCAATCTGATCGATCCTGCGAGTAACCAAATAAGTAACCATTTGGAGGATCAGTGGTTGTTTACCAAATCCCAAGGTAAACACATACATCATGTCTGATGTAGGTTTCTCAAACTTTGCATGTTGCTCTTCTACCACCCCATTGTTCATGACATAATAACACAGAGGTATTTGACCTGCTGATTCCTCACACATGTCCTCTTCCTCATCCCCATATTCCTTTGAGGCATACCCATATTCATTGGGAAAAAATGACACAATGTTGTAATGGATTATCAAATTGTCCTCTGAACTATCTTCAAAACCATCTGATACTTTGTCATCCATGTTGTCGTCACTAAGATCTTCAACCTTCACTGGCGGCGCATTCACAATAGGAATCAATAACCTCTCTTTGGCTGGTCAACATTGTACTTATTTCTGGCCGCTTTCACCCTTTTGTGGAATAACTTTTGTTGTAGCATCTCTTACAACTTTCTTATTCCTCTATTGTAGAACAAATTTTGTCCCAACTTCTCTTGCAGCTTTCTTATTCCTCTGAAACCTCTTCCATTGGGTCTTCATCATAAGATTCTTCCCTTTGTAGGTGAGAGGAACATGGTATTTCTTTGAAATGATCCCGATTTCAGCACGTTGGGTTGAACTATATCCTTTTTCCATCGTTTCCCATTTATGAATCGAACCTAACCCTTTTTTCACCACCTTCTAGTTTTGGTTTGCCCCCTAGGATAAAAGGGACGAACCCAGTTATTGTTGGGCATATTAGTTGGTGGCACAAACATTCTCAGATATGGAAACTTGAGTTTCTCTTGAGGAACTTGAACATTGTTTGGCCCCTTAGCATGGTCGAACACCACCTTTGGATTTTTTTCCTTGATGGTGTTTTTTCTTTAGCGCCTCAATCTTCTTTGCAACTTCTTCATCATAGATCACGTTACAGTTTGGGCATAACATGAAACTAGAATTACTCAACTTACATTTGTTCAGAAAATCTACCAACTCCTCTTCAGGTTTAAGAAACACGACCTTCATTAATTCAGTCATTGTTTCCTCAGACAGTTCTTCATCCATACAGTCCATTTTTGCTTTTTCGTCCTGACCACCTTTAGGATTTTCATCAAAATTAACCATCATCACTTCATGTGGGGCTTAGACAAATTATCATTGCCACTTTTGAGACCCTCGTAGCCTCGACTGTTGTAGAAATATCCAGCTCGTCTTCAAGATCATCAGTAGCCTTGAGCGTCAATGTTGCTAGTGAGTTGATAGTATCTACTTGTTCGTCTATGAGGCCCTTAGTAGCCTCTCTCGTCATCACTTTAAATGGCTCCACATAGTGTGCATCAACCACATGTGAGGCATCTGAGTCGATCTTCATAGTATTCTTTGGTTTCTCACCAAATTTCAGTGACCATCTTTCAAATCCTTTTGAATCAAATCCCTAAAAAGAAAACACTGAGAATTATTATGACCCAAGAATTATGATATTTGCAAAAACTTATTTTTTGTTTTTTCTCTAATGGTGGATCCTTAGGGCCTGGGGGCACTATAATCTGACCATCTGAAACTAAAACATTAAATATTTGATCACATTTTGACACATCAAAAGTATATGTTTTATTATTAGTGTTATCATTTTTTGGACCTTCAACCGTCTTTCCCTTAGACAGTCTTATAGGTTTACATGCATATGGAGGCCCATCTTTCAATTCAGCCACGTTAACCTCTCCTTCTTCCATGTATTCGTCCTCAGACTCTATGAAATAATCCTCTGTCCATATAGGAAAATTTTCCTTTTCTATGGTCCTTTGACACCCTAGCTTTCTCTGTTTTTAAATGTTCGACATATCGAACCTTATCATCTAGTTGAGACGTATCCGTAATAGATTGAGGATCAAACCTTTTTCTAATAGAATAATCTAACTCCCGGCGGCCATTTCGACCAGCTCATGTTCAGGAACCCTAGTAAAGCATCTAGACTTTAGGACCCTAAACCTATTCAAATACTTGTCCATTGAATCATGCGACCTTCTCTTGATGGAGGATAATTCTTTCAAACTTATCTTAGGCTGACCAACATAAACTTTCTCATGAAATATACCCTCAAGTTGTTCCCAACTGCGTATGGAGTTTGGAGTCAACGTTATAAACCAAGTAAAAGCATTCTTTGTCAATGAATTAGAAAAATATCTTAATTTTAATCCCTCATCATTGGCGATATTGCCAACTTTTGTTTCGTACCTAGCAATGTGTTTAATGGTCGAATCATTGGTCTCACCAGCAAACTTGGTAAACTTGGGTACTTTACATCCCCTAGGTAACTCTGCTTGTCGAATGTAATCAGGTAAGAGCGAAGAGTAAGTGGGCCTCTGAAGACCAACATTTACTTCGGATCGTGTTAATACTTATTCTACCATATTTACTATGTTATTACATCCAGTAGTGGTATTTCTTAACACTCGATCGATATCTTGGTTTCTGCTAACTACAATTGGCTTAGGTTCATATTGTTCAATGTATTCTTCCTATTCATAAGTGGGTGCTTCCACTCTTCGAGGTCTAAAAAGACGCTCATTATTCCCCCCTCTAGTTCTTCAAAAACTCTCAACGTCTTATGGGACGTTTGAGTTTGAGTTGGTTGGAACCCTAATGAGTCGATCAATCTACCTATTTAGTCAACTACAGGATTAAGAGCGACTCCTATTTGTTGAGTTAAAACATTTACTAACTCTAAATTACTCTCATCCATTTGTTGCCTTAAAGCCATAACGGATGTAGTATTCAAAGATGGTGTCGACTGCGGGATATAAGTAACACTTCCTAGTCGACCACTTGGGGCATAACTGCTTTGGTTTCCAGTGGCCACTGCATTTTCTATATATGTGACAGAGTTTGACTATAACCTAACCATCATGGAATAAAGCATACCATATTGGTGAGGGGAAAATTATGATCCTAGACCCCCTGGAAAGAGTTGTCGATTTGGGTCAAATGGAGATACCACATGCCTAGGTTTTGTCATTGTGACTGCTGTCATTGAACCATGAACTGCGGTCAATCTTACAGGAGATGAAACTGTCGCGCTTTGAGTTGTGGTACTTACTGGTATGACATTCAGATTTTATGTAAAAATCTACATATGTGCAGTGTTTGTGTCAGAGGGTGGCATTTTAGACTTAGACAAAAGTTCACCACTTCTCAAATTCATACACAAACTAACTATAAAAACTTTGTGAAACTATACACAAAATGCGAAAATATTAGCACTGTCCCATCGGGTGTGCCAATTTGTTTACCTTCGAATTTGGTAAACAACGACGATCTATTTAAAACAATTTTACTGGCGACATCGACCAGGGAATCTCAATACATTGCTTCAGTTCGTGTTCGTATGCGTAGTTAAAGTGTTTTAAAAAAAATACGTTCGATTGAGAGGCAAACAGTTTGATAAACACAAAGTAAATAAGATAAAAAAGACGTTTTAAATTGTAAAAGGTAATGACATAACATTAAAGAAAAGTTGAAAATAGGTTGGTTCAAACGTACATTGCTTTTGCTTGACTCATTTCGGCCGTTCGCTTGGTTACTCTGAGTGACTAGCGTGCAAGAATGTGAAAGTTTGACTTTTTACAAAGTGCACTAAGTGTTTTATTTATAATGCACAAAAATAACTACTTTTAAGTGGGCTTCTTTTCCTTACATGCCATGTGTCCCTTGAAATTTCCCTTCACGAAACCACGTTCTCCACTCTCGCTGTTGAACCCACGTTCTCTATTGTAACTTCTCTTCATGAACCCACGTTCATCACTCCTGATATCAAACACACGTTTTCCCTCCATAACGCTTCGCCTTTGCAGTTTAGGTGCTTATGGGCCTTTTAACCTTTTTGGGTTTCTTACCTCTCTTGGGCTCAATTCATTCACAATGAACTCTTCTCTAATCGACTGCACTTACGAAACTTTGATCGACTACTTGTAAGAACATCCATGATAGACATGCTTATGTAGTCGACTCTTCATAATTTAATGCTCGTTAATGCTCTTAAAAGATCTTTTCTAACTTTTGATTTGAATTTTTCTCTTTATAAAAAATCCTAACCAATAATTAGATATTAAAAATATAAATTAAAAGAAAAAGATATGGAAAAAATACAACAAAATCAGAGGGTGGAATCTTAAGAAGCTTTAACATCCAACCTCGTCGAGTAAAAAAATCTTAATCACAAAACAAAAAGAATTAAACCGAAAGAACATTCCAAAAAGAAAAAAAAGACTTACCTTATTCCTAAACTTTCTCTAATTAATACTAGTAAAATAAAGGAACTAAAAAATAAACCGAGGTAGAGACTTGCATAGACGGACCAAAGCAATCCTTTCTCGTCATCAAATTGAATTAAGATAAATAGATATTGTTTATTTATTTCTCAATCTATTTCCCTTTTATATGTTAATAAAAATTTATTACTTTAAAAAAATACAAAAAATTGACTTCATCAAAATTTTATAAAAAAAAACAATAGTATAAGAAATTCACCACAAGACACAAGCTAGAATAAATCAAGTTTAAGAAGAAAAAAAATCCATTTACATAAAGATTAAGAAATTCCTTTATAACTTGTCCAAAAAAAAAAATTCTTTTATAAGAAAAAAAGTTTAAACAATGACCAATTATAAAATGGAAGCATTTTCTAAGAATCCGTTGAAAGCTCTTTATCCCTCTGTTTTTCCTCTGTTTTTCCGTGAAACCTTTTCTTCCTCTCTTTTCATTCTTCATAAAACAATTATCCATTCTTCTTCTTCCTCCTCTTCTTTTTCCTTATCTCTTTCCATTACCATAACTATTGTACCATTTGTTGTTATTGTTATGCCATTTGGACCACATGCTGTGGAAAACAACAGAAAAAACTTTAAACTTTATCATCGGAATCTTCATTTCACACCATAAAATAACAATACACGTGTTTAACCAAAGCAATATCACTTTTTCCTAAATGGTTCTTATCTCATGCAAAAGCTTTTAGATTCTTTCTAATGAAAGCTTCTTTATTAAGCGGGTTCCAGATTTAAAGTTGAAAAAACGTGACTTGGGTATGATATATTCACACAACCTTTGTTTTTCTTTATTCTTTTGTTTTAAGACAAACCCTGTTTCTGATTTTCTTTTGTGTTTTTTTTTTCGAAAAATTTGTGTTTTTTGTTTTGTTTGTGTTTTTCTAGAATCTATGTCGTGTGTGCCAGCAAGAACGGGGAGACAAAGACAGCGTTATGAAGACAACCTTCGACTTGTTTCTGGGTGAGTTTTTTATTTTGAGGACATAGGTTCTCTACCTTAAAAGTGTTACCTTTTTTTATTTTTTATCTTTTGTTGTTCTTTAACACCGTTTTAACCTTTTTGGGTTGTGATTCGTTTTTTGTTATGGCCATGCATTATAGTGTTTGTTGATATGCTTGTTGTGTTCCGTGATTGGTTTCCATTGATTTTCTTTGTTGGTTTCTTGAGAAAATGGATCCTCTACAACATTTGTATGGTGTATCTTTGTAGAGCTCTTAGATTAAGAGAGATATTCTTTACTTACTTTCTTTCTTCTTTCCTTTTCATTGGTTTTGTCTCATGCGCAAATAGAAAATTAATAGTGTGACATAGTTGTCAGATAACTGGCATGGTTGGTTTTAAAGCATGTGGTGTGAGTTTGATCTCTAGATGAGATGTCAACCTCTTAAATAGATCTACTTACTTTGAGTGATCAGATCTCTATAACACCAACATCTCTGAACACCAACATCTCCTAACAAATACGTGTCCACGAGTGTCTGTGTCTGACAGAAGATATTGGTACACAAGATATTGGTACACGATATTACATTTATTTTTTCAAAGTTTTATGTAACACCAACATCTCCGAACAAACATATGTTTGGTCTTGATATTTTTTCAAAGGTGTTGTGTCTGTGTTAGTACTTCATTATTTTCTCTGAACCACGTGATAACTCTATGTGGTTCAGAAAGAAATTATATCTAATATTTTTCACAAAATAAATAAGGTTTAATTATTTTTGTTTGTGAAATAGAAAGGCATGACATAACGTTTTCTAAATAATTGTCTTCTCTATCAAATATTTTATTGTTAAATCACATTTCATGAGGATATGTTCAATAACAATGATAAATAAAACCTTGTGGGCCATTTCATTGACTTAAGGTCTATTAAGAAATGTAAAATACAACTTCAAATTGCATGATCTGTTTTGGCTTTTATGTAAATATAAAACTATTAAAAATTCAACATTTATCAGTATCAGAGTCCTGGCATGCAGAGTAATAAATAACTGGGGTAGCAATATTTGTTTATGAAATTATTGCTGTGTTGTTGCTTTCCTATATTAAAATCCTGTGAGATATGTTTGTTGTTGAAGATTGTATTCATAGCAGATGCATGGAAGTTTCTGAGCTATTCCTTTTTATCAGGCTTGAATCATTGAGTCTTGTTTTTAAGCATTCAATATATTCAAGTGGGCCTTAAAATAATGAGAGAAAATGGATTAAGCTAAACAACTCTTGAATTTTTTAATTTTATGATTATACCAGATGAAAATGACGGTTAGTGGGATTCGTTAAAAGAAATTATTTAAAATCTTGATTAAGAAAACATTGTGCTTTTTACTTTCCATTTTTCTTCATGTTTACATCATTATCATGTGGATTTGTTTGATGAGGAAATGAGGTAAATCTAGAAGTTCATTAAAAGCCATTTTGTGAATAGTAGAAAGCATGAATAAGAACATGCCTTTGAGTTGAAGCGTGACTGGTGTCTGGTGTCTGACATGTACATGACACAGATACATGTGATGACGCTCAATTTATTTACTTTTTCAAATTGCAACAGTTTTATATGCCACACGATTCACTTACAGTTTTCGTATTTATTCAAACAGATGTATTCCGTATAGAAGGAGAAAGGAGAATGGAGACCAAATGGAAAAGACTGGGGAAATGATAGAAGTACTTATGGTTTCTTCGCCAAAACGTGATGACCTTGTATTTCCAAAGGTACTCGGTATTGTCTGCATCGATAATTTTCATCGGTATGAGACCTTGAAGATTGAAAAGTTTGGTTTTCTATTATTTGGCAGGGTGGTTGGGAGGATGATGAGACTCTCATAGAAGCTGCTTGTCGCGAAGCTTTAGAAGAAGCGGGAGTTAAAGGAATTTTAAGAGTAGGTTCAATTCCCTTCTAGATTATCGAAGTACTTATTGGTTATAGTCCATCTTGAAAATTTTTAGCAATAAATCGGATTAACAGAACCAAGGAAATAATCATATATGTGAATGTTTTATAACTAGTGCAACTCAAGTTTGATTTGACTTAACATTTTATGGCAAAATGTCTTTCTAGTGACCTAAATGAGCCATAATCTGGTTCTCATTTTCAGGAAACTCCATTAGGGATGTGGGAATTCAGAAGCAAAAGCAGTCAGGACTTGTGTAGTATGGAAGGAGGCTGCAGAGGATACATGTTTGCCTTGGAGGTGACTGAAGAACTTGAGGCATGGCCTGAGCAGAACAATCGTGCTCGCCAATGGGTAATTCTTCTCAATAAATCCATAAAAAGTATTGTTGCAATTTGTATTTTTTGACATCTTTAACTGAGTTGGAGTGCATTTTTTCTCTTCTTAGTTAAGCATAAAAGAGGCATTTAGACTCAGCCGATACGATTGGATGTGTAACGCACTCGAGGAGTTTACAAAAGTTATGGCAGAGGAGAATGTCATCGATCCTCCTTCAGTTATCCCAACAGATGCTTCAGAATGTCAAAGTGTGTCGCCCAACTGCTATAAAAGATCCTCGAATATGCAGCACCACGGCGTGCCTTCTAAAGCGAATCTACTGCAACGCGCTTCTCAAGAGATAGCCATCCATTTTGGCTATTGACATTGCTGTACACTTGTGCTATTTTCTGCAATAACTTCTTCAAACTGATAAGACCAAAATGTGAAGTAAGGATTTGGACTTTTGATGGTCGTGTCAGCGATTTCGTAGTTGTAGGTTCGTTTTCTTGTTTCCTTTGTGATCGATCATAATGTAGAATATGGCGGTGAAAGTCTCAAGTGTAAATGGACTTAAATAGCTATTTGCTTCACCCCAAAATTCATGAAAAAAGTTGTAAAATAGCAGGCACCATTCCTTGAAATCTGGTTGTCCCAGAGGCGAATAACACCATTGGTTGTGTTTTATGTGAAATTCATCTCTCTTACTCATCAAACTGATTGAACATTAAGACATGCCTTTCAAGCTTTTCGTCTTTCGTTCTTTCTTCCCCTTTTCGTGTGCGGAAGAACATCAAATTTAAGAATTTTGGAGAGAATCAAGCATATGCAATGCCAAAGAACAAAATTTAGAGCAAACAAACAACCTTAGAATACAATCTTAAAATGAATAGATATAGTCATTAACAACAAACAAATTTCAGGAATGTCAGAAACATTGTTTTAGTAAATAAAGGGACTACATGGATCAAATGTTAGCAAAAACTATGTAGCTGGATAAGTACAACAAAGAAAAATAAGATCAAAGAATTTTGACATGGTAACTAGTTTTCAACAAAGAAATATATCTATTTTTTTCCACTTATACATATTTGATTTTATTGTTTCGGTAATGATATTTGGTTGACTCTATTTCTTTCTTGTTTAATGGTTGTAGGTATGGTGCACTCCGTCGTTGTCATTCCATATAATATACTATATGTTGGTGAGTCGGGTGTTCTTAAATTCGATGTTATTAAAGTTGATATAAAGAAATATTTTATCACTAAACAAATGTTTACATGGCATGATTATATATGCTTAAATGAGTTTGTGTGTGTTATAGTTTAAATTTGTCCGTTTTAGTGATACATTCGAAATTCGAAATTATTTTCACTTTGGTTTATTTACACTAACATTTTGAGTTTTATAAATATTCGTTTCCAATTTATTTTGTCTATTTAAAAATATATAATAATTTATTTTAAATTATTTGTATTTTAAAAATAGCAAAATATTTTTTCACCTTCACGTGCTTTTATATACCTTTTTATCTTGAATAGAATGACATAGCACAATTTATATTTTAAAACTTTTCTTTATTAAAATTAATTAGAAGCAAGTAGGTTTTAATTATTTAATTAACATCAAACTATTTTTTATAAAAAATACAAAAAAAAACATTTCTTTTCTAATATTTTCTCTTATTTATTTTTTTGCTATATAAAATTCCTAGAGAAATTATATAGGTCGCGCAGTTTAAATGTAATAACTTAGATTTACATTCTCGCACTTTTTCCTTATTATGTAACTGTACCAAAGCCCTGTAATAGTTGTAGGCCTTTACTTTCTCGTGCTTTACTTTCCGCAACTATATTTTTCTACACTTATAATTATATGCCTGTATATATAATTGTTAGTAAATAGGCTTGTATGGAAAAATTTAAAATCAATCAGTAGATAACTCCTAACTAATCAAAATAATATAACTAAACTGAACACACTATACACACGTACACCTCTAGGATAACCCTACTTGTTGTCTCGGATAAAAATAGTCACGTCCCTCGAACGTGGAACGCTTTAGCAAAGACCCTCGGTTAAAAGATCGTAGTCCCTCGATGACCCTTCGATGATGCCTTCGGTAAACGATCTTAGTCCCTTACGACGAATTGCTAAGCGCCCTACTGCTTTACCCCAATTTTTGCCCCTAAGATCCCTTCATCATACCATGTTGATTCAATCACAACAAGATCACATTAGGGCTTTTGGTTCTTCTCCCTATCTTTAGCTTTGCTCTTTTGAGGAGTTACCAAGCACCTTGAATTGTTTTCTTTTGTGATCATGAATATTTTGCTTTAATTTTCTTTATAATTAATAAAATGCAATGTTGGTTTGTCTTACTTGTTAATAATGTAGGTAAAGGAAATGAGGTTTAGCAAGTTGCTCCATGGGTTCATGAGTTTATTTCCATGCCATAGTCAATATAGCTTGAGGAGTTCAAACCTCACCATTGAAGTTGTTTTGGAAGAAATGGCATGACAAGGCTTATTTTGGTTCAACATATTTCAAAGTTATCAAAATTGATTCAAAAGTACAAGTGGTTGAGGGAAGAAGTTGTCATGATTGGACAAGGTCTTGTTCCTGTTAGTCACAAGAACACATTTCTCTCAAATTTCAAGATATGGAAGTGGTTTTAGTGGCTATGAGTCCTCCTCATCATCCTCAACAACTTCTATTCACAAAGAAAGAATATTGGCACAAGAAGTTTATTCAAACTTGTCAAAGTTCCTCAAAGCATTCTTTTGATCTAGAGGCTAGGGTTTTGAACTTCAAAGGAGCATATCTTGCTCACCTTTTGGTATTTATGAGTGATTCCAAATACATCATTACCTTCAAAGAGTTACCAACAAGTCACTTTAAAGGTTTCAAGGAATTTTCATGTGGAAGGAACTTGGTGAAGAAGAAAGAGTACAAGTCATCCAGATGAATCCACAATTTTCCATATGTGACTTCAAATGGTCATAACTTGGTCAATTTTTATCACCTTGAGTCCATTATTTTTCCATGATGATCTTAAAGATGTGTAATTTATGCCTTATTTTATGTGCAAAGTGAGAAAATGGATGGAAGTTGCCTTAAATATGCAAAAGATTATAGGTCATTTCATGATTTTGGGCCAACTTCAACAAGTCATAACTTGCTCATTTTTTGGAGATTTTGAGTGGTTCAAACTTCAAAACGTCATTCAAGAGATCTACTTCATTCCATATTTTTTGGTCAAGAGCAAATTCTAAGAGGAAGGCCATGTTTGGATACAAAAGATTATAGGTCATTTTTTAAGAAGAATTTGAAATATTTCTAAGTATGGAAAGTCAACTCTTTTTCTTCAACTTTGACTCCATGTAACTTTCAGCTGAAGTATCCATTTGATTCCATTCTTTTTCCATTGCAAATCTTGTAACCTCATCTTTACAAAGCATCAAGAATCATGCCCTAATACCCCTTGAGTTGGAAATGACATGGATTTGAATTTGGTAACTTGAAACTGAATTTTTCACAAAGTCAGAATTTTGAAATCCATAATGTGACTTCTAAACACAAGATTTGTGCGTGTTTTTTATTTAAACTTGATTAGCAAACTTGCCAGAAGTGATTAGCACCCCAAAACGCAAGGTTTGACTGAGTTTTGATGGAAATGAAGTCACACTCCACTCGTGCTCGACCCTTACTCAATTTCCCTCCAAACTTCCTTGTTTCTTCAAATTTTCATATTCCCATTCACTTCCTTATAAATAGAGGGTCATCCCCCATCCATTTGCCCAAGCTTAGAGAGCCAAGAACACCCTGCCAAAACCTCACACGAACCCACTTTTTTTGAATTCAGTTTCTGAAATTTAAGCTTCCTTTTCCAAAATTCTTTGTGCATTCATCATCCTTGAGCATCATACAAACTCTCCAGCACTTAAACCAATCAAAACGAGCCATAATTCAAGCTACAAAAGTCTAGTTTCAGAGCTTCTTACTTGAACTTCGAAAAGGTAGAATGCTCCACCATTTGGATCCAAATCAAGCACTAATCTATTCTACTCATTTGTCTGATTCTAATGTTGCTTACAATTTTTAAACCCATTGAGAATTGAGAGAGAAAACTCAAATTGAAGGTGCTCGCTATTTTCTGGGTTTTTGATTCATATCTCTCTCCATACCTTATATAAATTTGGCGCGATGGTTGTGTTAGAATCATCTTGAAGAGACGAGTTCAATGATGCTAGCCTGGGATCCTAATTTTTCCATTTGAAGGATCTCACAAAATCCCCATTGCAGGGTGTCTGGTGGTTGAAGACGATGTCATGTCTCGTCTCAGCCAATGATAGCGTGCCAAACGTTTTAATTTCATTGGTTGCCCTTTTTCTGATCACATGTGTGTTTCACTAAGGTCCATATCAAGCACAACGAGTCTGGCCCATTGGATTAGCTTACAAACGCGTTTTGACTATGATCTGATGGTCCACATCTTTTTGGTTTTATTTTATTTTCTGATTTTATATTTTTATTGATTAAATTTTCAAAAATTCATAACTCTTTTATTTTTTATCCAAAAATTATGAAAAAATTCACAAAAATATTTTGAATTATTTCTGATCTCATGAATATTTTTTCACATTTTTATTTTGACATTTGGTATTTTTTATATTTTTTGTATTATTTTCTTTCTTTTAATTACCTAAAAAATACTTTCTGATATTTTTTAATTCTGAAAAATATTCATAAATATTATTTTGTATATTTTTGACTTTCTGAAAATTTTATGAAATTTTATGTTGAGGTTTACTATTTTTTACCTATTTTATGTTTGTTTGAACAATTTTAAATAGTTTAATAATAGTTTCTAACTTTTAAAAATTACCAAATTTTTTATAAAAATATTTGGATCCATTTCTGATTTTTCTATGGCCTTATTTTTCATTTCTTGATTAATTTGAACATAATTGATATTTTCCCCATTATTTTCTATTTTTAAAATTTTTTTTAATGTATATATTAAATATAATATTATTTTGTGATTATTTTCTGGCTAATATTGGGTTAGGTTTTGGATCATGAACTTTATTAACATCAATGGATCCATGGTATTGAGTTTAACTCCACAAAAAATGGATGAATGATTTTAATAATAGTTTGATTAAAATTTAATTCAAATGTGGTTTGTATATTCTTTTTTACCCTAATCCTCTTCATCTCATCCCCTTCCTATTGCACTAAGTGTTGTTGGAGCATGATCTCTATATCATGTCTCAAAACAAATGGTGCATAGATTGCTATTGACCGGCCTCAAAATAGGTGCGACTTCTATATAAGTCCACTTACGATTGCTTAACATAACGCTAAATTTTGTCCCGATTC